ATGTATAGTCCCTTTATATAAAGGGAAAGGGGACAAAAGAGACTGTAAAAATTATAGAGGAATAAGTTTACTGAGTATACCAGGAAAAGTGTACGGTAGGGTTATAATTGAAAGAATTAGAGGTAAGACAGAATGTAGGATTGCGGATGAGCAAGGAGGTTTCAGAGTGGGTAGGGGATGTGTAGATCAAGTGTTTACATTGAAGCATATATGTGAACAGTATTTAGATAAAGGTAGGGAAGTTTTTATTGCATTTATGGATTTAGAAAAGGCATATGATAGAGTGGATAGAGGAGCAATGAGGCAGATGTTGCAAGTATATGGAATAGGTGGTAAGTTATTAAATGCTGTAAAGAGTTTTTATGAGGATAGTGAGGCTCAGGTTAGGGTGTGTAGAAGAGAGGGAGACTACTTCCCGGTAAAAGTAGGTCTTAGACAGGGATGTGTAATGTCACCATGGTTGTTTAATATATTTATAGATGGGGTTGTAAAGGAAGTAAATGCTAGAGTGTTTGGGAGAGGGGTGGGATTAAATTTTGGGGAATCAAATTCAAAATGGGAATTGACACAGTTACTTTTTGCTGATGATACTGTGCTTATGGGGGATTCTTAAGAAAAATTGCAAAGGTTAGTGGATGAGTTTGGGAATGTGTGTAAAGGTAGAAAGTTGAAAGTGAACATAGAAAAGAGTAAGGTAATGAGGGTATCAAATGATTTAGATAAAGAAAAATTGGATATCAAATTGGGGAGGAGGAGTATGGAAGAAGTGAATGTTTTCAGATACTTGGGAGTTGACATGTCGGCGGATGGATTTATGAAGGATGAGGTTAATCATAGAATTGATGAGGGAAAAAAGGTGAGTGGTGCGTTGAGGTATATGTGGAGTCAAAAAACGTTGTCTATGGAGGCAAAGAAGGGAATGTATGAAAGTATAGTAGTACCAACACTCTTATATGGGTGTGAAGCTTGGGTGGTAAATGCAGCAGCGAGGAGACGGTTGGAGGCAGTGGAGATGTCCTGTTTAAGGGCAATGTGTAGTGTAAATATTATGCAGAAAATTCAGAGTGTGGAAATTAGGAAAAGGTGTGGAGTTAATAAAAGTATTAGTCAGAGGGCAGAAGAGGGGTTGTTGAGGTGGTTTGGTCATTTAGAGAGAATGGATCAAAGTAGAATGACATGGAAAGCATATAAATCTATAGGGGAAGGAAGGAGGGGTAGGGGTCATCCTCGAAAGGGTTGGAGAGAGGGAGTAAAGGAGGTTTTGTGGGCAAGGGGCTTGGACTTCCAGCAAGCGTGCGTGAGCGTGTTAGATAGGAGTGAATGGAGACGAATGGTACTTGGGACCTGACGATCTGTTGGAGTGTGAGCAGGGTAATATTTAGTGAAGGGATTCAGGGAAACCAGTTATTTTCATATAGTCGGACTTGAGCCCTGGAAATGGGAAGTACAATGCCTGAACTTTAAAGGAGGGGTTTTGGATATTGGCAGTTTGGAGGGATATGTTGTGTATCTTTATATGTGTATGCTTCTAAACTGTTGTATTCTGAACACCTCTGCAAAAACAGTGATAATGTGTGAGTGTGGTGAATTTGTTGAATGATGATGAAAGTATTTTCTTTTTGGGGATTTTCTTTCTTTTTTTTTTTGGGGGGTCACCTTGCCTCAGTGGGAGACGGCCGACTTGTTGAAAAAAAAAAAAAGAAGTGTTAATCAGTTGTTTGTTATTGGTAAGGCTTCAAGTCAACAGTAGACTATTAGTAGTTAAGTTAATGGGGAGTCAAAAGTCATATGTGGATTTTCGACCATGCAGGGGATCGCACCCATAACCCCTGCGTTATTCAAGGGTCAACTGTACGTATATAGCAGATTATAGAAGGGTATACAAGATTTACAGGATATTTTTTTTTTTTCTCTCTCTCAACAAGTCAGCCGTCTCCCACTGAGGCAGGGTGACCCAAAAAAGAAAGAAAATACTTTCATCATCATTCAACACTTTCACCTCACTCACACATAATCACTGTTTTTGCAGAGGTGCTCAGAACACAACAGTTTAGAAACATATACGTATAAAGATACACATCATATCCCTCCAAACTGCTAATATCCCGAAACCCCTCCTTTAGAGTGCAGGCATTGTACTTCCCATTTCCAGGACTCAAGTCCGGCTATATAAAAATAACCGGTTTCCCTGAATCCCTTCACTAAATATATCTTCTGATAATGTAACTACCCACAAGGAAGAGATAGCATGACATGGCTGTGACAGTAGAAGTAGTGGTCTTGGCTACAAATAGAGTTATTATCTACTGTTATAGGTGGTTATTGTGCATGGATGATCAATAATGTATTGGTAATCATTGATGGAGTGTCACATACACTCCTCTGTTTAAAAATGAATGACAATTTATTGTTGATCATATTGCATTATCTATTTGAGTGGCATCTGAAGATACATTGTAAAATGTTTGGTTAATTAATGTTCTCTATCTTACCCAAAACAATGTTATTTAGCTTTCTTCTAGAGATGCATTGGATGTGAAAATTTAGATATCCACAGATGCGGATGTGTATGAGGATGTCTTGTTTTGCGGATGCGAATGTAAGAAATTGTGCGGACATTCCATGGATTTTGGATGCAGATGCATATGTGGATATCTCTTTGCAGTAAAATGCGAATGCGAATGTAAGAAATTGTGCAGATGTTCCGCAGATGCGGATGTCCGATACATCACTACTTTCTTCCTCTGTCTAATGTAGAGGATGCTGAGAAGGCGAGTGCATCTATACGCCTGTAATCTTTACTGGATAGTGAAGATCATCTGGTACCTCCTTTACTCTGGACAAAATTGCGAGACTACTTTTTTTGCCAAAAATAGTTTACTGGGCAGCCACAAACAGTGTTGTATGTAATGTGTGCTCACTTATATTTCCTACACTACAGTTGTTGGTGGTGATCCATGATTTTATGTGATTCTTAGCATATTTTCCTAGCAATTAATCTTTGTGATTACAATTTCAGTAAAATTTTAAAATTTACCACTTGGGTAGTGATAGTACTGCAGCATTCCCTGTAAGTCCAGTAATAAATAAATCTGTTTCATTTATGCTAATGTTTAACTTAAGTTTTCAGCAGACCCTAGGTCAGAGGTGTATTGTTGAATTATATGACCTCTGTTGGTCCAGCAAAATCGATACCGACAAAGCCTAGGTGCCAAGGGTGCCAGAAAATTGGTGTTGCACCTGCCAACATTCCTATCAGCATAAGAGTACAATAGGTGACTTCCTGTTCCTAAAAAAGCATGTTAGCAGTGAATTTGGTTAAAATATTCAATATTCATGTTGATCTGTGTGTTTTACTGTTCATAGATGATAGGTGAACACCTAGGCAACCATTATGAATTTCTCAAATTCTTGGCAGAGGGTTGGCAGAGTGGCACTTGCTGGATTATCAGTCTAGACACCTTGGCTAAGATTTTTTCTAACACACTATCTGTCTCCCACTGAGGTAGAGTGACCCAAAAAAAGAGACAACACTTTTACCATCATTCACTCTTTTTCACTGCCTTGCTAGTCATGCTGATACTACAGTTCAGATGCCCCTCCAAATTGCAAATATCCCCACTCCTCCCAACTGCAAATATCTCCACCCCTCCTCCAGAGTGCAGGCACTATACTTCCCATCTCCAGGACTCGGGTCTGGCTAACCAGTTCCTCTGAATCTCTTCACAAAATGTTACCTTGCTCACACTCCAACAGCTTGTTAAGGCCATTAAACCATTTGCCTCCACTCCTATTTAACATGCTCACACATGCCTCCTGGATATCCAAGCCTCTAACACACAAAACTACCTTTACCTTTCCCTCCAACCTTTGCTAGGACAGTCCCTACCTTGCTTTCCATCTATACAGATTTATACATCCCCTCAAGTCATCCTATTATACTCCATCCTCTAAATGTCCAAACCACCTCAACAGCCCCCTGCTCTGCCTTTTGGATAATACTTTTAGTAACCCCATACCTCCTAATCTCCAATCAACGAATTCTCTGCATGATATTTACCCCACACATTGCCCTCAGACAAGACATGTCCACTGCTTCCAAGCTGCTCCTTGCTGTAACATTCACAACCCATGCTTCACACCCATATAAAAGTGCTGGCACCACTGTACTTTCGTACATTCCTTTTCTGCCTCCATGGATAACGTTCTTTGCCTCCACAGATGCCTTAGTGCACCGTCCACGTCTTTTCTCTTGTCAATTCTATGGTTCACTTCATCTTTCATGTACCCAACTGCTAACAAGTCCGCTACCAAATATCTGAACACTTCCTCCATACTCCTCCAACCTTTGTGATTTCTTTCCAGAATCTCCCAGAAGCAGTGTCATCGGCATAAAACTATTAGATTCTACATATTTTAATCCTAAACCTCTATCCAGCATCCTAGCATTTACTTCTTTTACAATCCTATATATAAATATGTTAAACATTAGTGACATCATACATTCCTGTCTAAGGCCTGCTTATACTGAAAAATAATCTCCCTTTCTACTACATACCCTAACCTGAGCCCCGCTGCCCTCATAAAAACTCTTAATTGCTTTCGGTAACCTTCCACCAATTCCATCTATTCCACCTGTGACATTGTTTCCCTATCCACCCTGTCATGTGCCTTTTCAAAATCCATGAATGCAACAAAAACCTCCTTCTCTTTATCTGAATATTGTCCATTTATATGCTTTAGTGTAAACACTTGCTTTACATATCCCCTACCCTTCCTGAAGTCTCCTTGTTCATCTGCAGTTCTACTTTCCATCTTACCCATAATTCTTTCAATAATAACTCTACCATACACTTTATGTAGTGTACTCAACATGCTTATTTCCCTATAATTTTTACACTTGTTTGTTTCCCCTTTCCTTTATACAAAGGAAGTATGCACAATAAAATTTCCAAGTTCAATCATGTTTCTGTTAAGCTACAAATGATCTAAATTTGCAGATTCTGGAAGAATTGGAATTGCTAGTCAAGCCATTGGTATAGCCCAGGCTGCCTTTGACTGTGCCATAGATTATGCAGGAAAGAGAATGGCTTTTAATGCTCCCATCCTGAAGCTTCAGCTTATCCAGGTACACTGCATTAACTTTTATCAAGAACTTTAAAATGTGTGCATTTTACATAATTGAGCATTAGTATTGGCATTACAATTTTATGCAAATCTGATGTAACATGTTTCAGTAATCAAAACAATCATTGCAACTGTATGTAAACTTCTGTACTATACTATGTTATTTAACGAGGATATGTTCCCGTTTATAATAAAGTGTTTGTAGCTACTGGATCAGCGGTCTGATCATGGTGTCATATCTTCAGTATCGCCATCATTTTTTAATTTCCCAGTGGCTTTGTTACTTATTACCTATTTCATTGTTCCACCACTCTTGTAAAGAACATTTAGGTAATCTTTCAGAACTGCCACCTCCTCAGTCTATAACTCCACCATCTTGTCTTCCCTATTAATGGTGTTACTAAAGCTTATCTGACAGAGAGAATCTATTATTTTTGTCAGGTTCTCTTGTTTTCCAAGGTTTTAGTTTATACATAACTTCAGAATGCCTTTTCTAATCAGCTTCAAATTTTCAACATTGGTGTATGGTATCTTGGAAAAGGTTCATTTGTTATTGGAATGTGCAGTTACCTTTTTGTTTAATGTTTAGGTACAGCAGTGATTTTGGTTTCTATGCAAAAACTTGAGAACAGTTCTGATCAGTTTCAAACCTTCAACACTGATGTACACATACATAGAAGATTAAGATTGTTATTGGAATGTGTATTCTGTTTATACATTTATGAGAGTTTTTTACTTTTGAGGTAATTTAAGAATACCATTTTAGGATGGCTTGAAGCTGTGACCCTTTCGATGAGTGTCTCTTAGTACTACACCTTTGAGCTCAGGGTCCGTCACATAGCTCTACATTATGAGCTCAGCTCACTCAGATAAGATGTGGACAGTAAATTTTGGCCTAGACATGACAAAATGGATTTGTGCATTAAGGTGCACCATATAAAAAAATATTCCCCCACATGTGCAAGATAGGAAATACAAAACTGACCATGTGGTGGTTTTAAAACAGCGAATTTGTGGTGTATTTTCGGATATTTTATATGGTTTTATTGGCAGTTTCTTGGTATGGAAGACATATTACTGAAATAGAGATGATTTTGATTGGTTTCAGGACTGGAAGTAGCATGAAATTGAGCTCAAAGTAGCAGAAATGTTTGATTTTTGTTGTTATACCAGAGAATGGGTAAGTTCCCTCTACAACCCCAAGTCTTTTTTTTTTTTTTTTTCTTCTTTTAACAAGTTGGCCATCTCCCACTGAGGCAGGGTTTTATGGTTTTATAATAGGTCTGATTCAATTATTGGTATGCTGTAAACCATGAACAGTCTTTGCTGGTTATACAGTATAATTTTTGTTTTTTCAACAAGTCGGCCGTCTCCCACCAAGGCAGGGTGACCCAAAAAGAAAGGAAATCCTCAAAAAGAAAATACTTTTGTCATCACTCAAAACTTTCACTTCACTCATATATAATCACTGTCTTTGCAGAGACACCCGACACAACAGTTTAGAAGCATATATAAAGATATATAACATATCCCTCCAAGCTGCCAATATCCCAAACCCCTCCTTTAAAGTGCAGGTATTATACTTCCCATTTCCAGTACTCAAGTCCGGCTATATAAAAATAACCGGTTTCTCTGAATCTCTTCACTAAATGTTACCTGGCTCATACTCCAACAGCCCCTCAGGTCCCAAAAACCATTCGTCTCCATTCACTCCTATCTAACACGCTCATGCACGCTTGCTGGAAGTCCAAGCCCCTTGCCCACAAAACCTCCTTTACCCCCTCCCTCCAACCTTTTTGAGGATGACCCTTACCCTGCCTTCCTTTCCCTTCAGATTTATACACTCTCCATGTCATTCTACTTTGATCCATTCTCTCTAAATGACCAAACCACTTTCAACAACCCCTCTTCATCCCTTTGACTAATACTTTTATTAACTCCACACCTACTAATTTCCATACTCCAAATTCTCTGCATAATATTTACACCACACATTGCCCTTAGACATGACATCTCCACTGCCTCCAACTGCCTCCTCACTGCAGCATTTACAACCCAAGCTTCACACCCATATAAGAGTGTTGGTACCACTATACTCTCATACATTCCCTTCTCTGCCTCCATAAATAATTTTTTTTTGTCTCCATGCCTCAATGCACCACTCACCTTTTTTCCTTCATCAGTTCTATGGTTAACCTCATCCTGCATAAACCCATCCGCTGACACGTCAACTCCCAAATATCTGAAAATGTTCTCTTCTTACTATTCTTACTTATTTAAAAAGTTTCTTACATTAGTGGAGCCAGCATTTATTCTTGTTCACTCCGTTGATATTACCCCATATGGACATTTTACATATTATCATTGTTTTCCATTCATATAAAACAATTTCATCCATTGTTAATGTTTTTCTTTTGCCTCTTGTGTTTTGCAATTTCCAAATGTCTTTTATGAGACATTCTATCAAAAGCTTTCTTGAAATCTAAATATAAGCTCAGTCTGCCCACCTGTTTCTGTATTGAATAATTTCTGTGGCTCATAGTACCTTAGTTTGTTAGAGATGATGTGCAGTATCTACACCACGTGGTTCACGGTTTCTGCACAGTGTGTGCCATTTCTCATTTGTTTGCAGGTTTACCCTTTTGTAGTGAAATTCCTAAAAAAAAATCTATAGTGGATCACTTAGTTCATCCACACATACTCATTAAATCCATAATGCTATTCTGTATTGTCTTCTTGTCTGTATTTTCAACATTCAGTAGTGGCTTCTTTTCCTCCTCATTGGATATTTCGTTGTCTTCCATGTCAATAGACTGCTTAGGATTTAAATCCACTACAGTTAAGGTGATGTCTTCTGGCACTTTCTATTTAATATCTCTTACATTGTCTGTCACAATTTGATTATTTTGTCATTGTCCTTAATGCTTTGCATATTGTCTTTCACACTTAGTTTTAATTTTAAATGCTTAAGTAAAAGATGTGGTTCCATCTTGCTTGTTCGTTTAATTGAAATAGAAGAATGTGACAAGACAGCCAGTGTCTTACCACCTGCCATCTCAAATCTCAAATTTGGTATTCAAAGTTATTCCTATAGAAAAAATATCAAAAGTCATATAAATATCAGAAGTCATTTAAACTAGGTCATGGGGTTATACAGTAGAATCCTTGTACTCTGTTGATTCTAATATATATATTTTTAATATACAGTGAGACCTCTCATCTCCGAACTATATATGGGCCGAGACCAGTTCGGAAACACGGAGTTTCCAGATACGTGAGGGGGGGAATGCTCATCTCTACTTTCATATTGCCATTTATACCCCGTGATAAGACCATCAGCAATGGTGTTGTAGATATAAAAAAATAAGTCCAACGTCTGGCTGTGGGACCAGACAATCTGGGCTTGAATAACAGCCTCTCAGATTTCATGGACCACAGGATTATAACTTTTCAAATAGGCTGTGGACAGTGAATGCTCCAAATACTCCATAAGTGTTTCGACACCTGCCCCTGCTGCTGAAGTTTTTGGTCTTGGAGGCATTTGGTCGTCGTCATCACTTTCAGAATGTTCTGGGTGCAACACTGATTCTGCAATCTCTGCATCTATCAGAGACTGCACACCAGGGTCATCTTCATCACACACTATCCAGTCCTGCCACTGGGAGTGCGGCTCCTAGTGGCCAATCGGTACACTAAAGTTCGCGCCAAGTTTGATTCAGCCTTCTGCTGTACCTGAACGGCTGTTCGGATGTTTCGGTAATAATTTTAGAATTTTGCCCTTTCCCAGGGCCTGTTCAGATATTGGCGAGGTTCGGATAATGGCAGGCTGGATATGTGAGGTATCACTGTATAATTATTATTTGAGGTATGAAATTCCCCCAAAAAATGCATGTTGTTCTGTGACCTCAAAATGACCTAGGTCATAAGATTTACAAACAGAAGCTTGTAAATCTTATGACCTAGGTCATAAGTTTGATGAGATTTGGAGATGGGAGGGTATTAAATCCATCAAATATTGCTTCTCTTGTCCTAGAACTTTCAATAAAGTATATAGCTTGTTTGATGACATATTAGGACATTTAAGTGTAATTACACCTGAAAAGTGATGCTAAAATTCATTGCAACAATGGATGCTGACTCAAACCTTAGAGTACTAGACTTTTGGCATAAATTTAAAATTGCAGATGCCATCAGCTACATCAGAAGTGCGTGGAACAAAGTGCCCCAATCAACATTCAATGCAGCCTGGGGAAAATTATGTCTAAAGTGATCGGTGCAGGAAATTGTTCAGCTAGCAAGGAGATTGCCAGGTGAAGGCATTGAAGATATCCAGGAAGATGATGTAAATGAACTGTTAGGAAATGTTGGCATAGCTCAATGCCTAGATGGAGGCAAATAACAGCAGGGATGAGGAAAAAAATCTGCAGAGAAACAGTTAACACTGTAACAATTACATGAGCAGCTCCATATTGGTAAGCTGCACACTTTTTCACTGAAGAGGATCCTGGCAGAGCTAGAAACACTGCTCTGTAATAGGGTCTGGAGCAGCTGGTGTTGCCTTTCTGTCAGCTGTGTAAAATACTGCAGGGTAAAACATACCAAAAACATACTACAGAATTCCTCAATACTCCAGTGCAACTGTCGACATTGTTACAAGAACCTTAGCCATCCACCTCAATCAACAATCCACAGGCTTCTACCTCAGCCCAGTGGGGCCACACTTCACCTCTCCTCTCCTTTCAAAATCATTTACATGTACCAGCAACCAGAATTTAAGGTAAGAAATATTATTTGTGTGTGTAAATTCAGAAAGTTGAAAGTGACAGACAAGAGTAAGGCGATGAGAGTATCAAACAATTTAGATAAAGAAAAATTGGATATCACATTGGAGGGAGGGAGTATGGAATAAGTGAATGTTTTCAGATATTTGGGATTTGACTTGTCAGTGGATAGGTTTATGAAGGATGAGGTTAACCATAGAATTGATGAAGGAAAAAAGGTGAGTAGTGCATCGAGGTATCTGTTGAGACACAAACCGTGTGAAGCATGGATTGTAAATGCTGCAGCAAGGAAGGGGCTGGAGGCAGTAGAGATGTCGTGTCTAAGGGAAATGTATGTTGTAAATATTATGCAAAGAATTCGTAGTGTGGAAATTAAGAGGAGGTGTGGATTTACTAAAAGTATTAGTCAGAGGGCTGAAGAGGGGTTGTTGAGGTGGTTTGGTCATTTAGAGAGAATGGAACAAAGTAGAATAACTTGGAGAGTGTATAAATCTGTAGGGGAAGGAAGGCGGGGTAGGGGTTGTCCTTGAAAAGGTTGGAGGGAGGGGGTAAAGGAGGCTTTGTAGGCAAGGGGCTTAGACTTCCAGTAAGTGTGTGTGAGCTTGTTAGATAGGAGTGAATGGAGACGAATGGTTTTTGGGACCTGAGGGGCTGTTGGAGTGTGAGCAGGGTAATATTTTGTGAAGGGATTCAGAGAAACCAATTAGCTGGACTTGAGTCCTGGAAATGGGAAGTACAATACCTGAACTTTAAAGGAAGGGTTTGGAATATTTGCAGTTTGGAGGAGCATCTAAAATGTTTTAAATGAGTGCCTCTGCATAGATAGTGATTATGTTTGAGCGATGGTGACAGTGTTGAATGATGAAAGTTTTTTTTTTTTCTTTTTGGGTTTTTCTTTCTTTTTGGGTCACCCTGCCTCAGTGGGAAACGGGTTAAAAAAAAACTTGTTGTCAGAGGTATTGTATTAAATATAACACATACTACATCCATCTGCAGTTACATTGTTACCTTTATTTTTTACAATTTCAGACCCTTCCCCCCCAAAAATGCCATTTTGTGGGGGTCTGAAACATGTAACCTTATTTTTTCCATGCTCTTTAGTTCATTTTAAATGATATTTTCATTATACACCATTTTCAAGAACTTAATTATCTTAATTGATGGTCAACTGTAGTTGATAAGGCTAAAGAGGTCTTTGTGGCATTTATGGATTTGGAAAAGGCGTATGACAGGGTGGATAGGGGGGCAATGTGGCAGATGTTGCAAGTGTATGGTGTAGGAGGTAGGTTACTGAAAGCAGTTGAAGAGTTTTTATGAGGAATAGTGAGGCTCAAGTTAGAGTATGTGGAAAGAGGGAAAATTTTTTTCCCAGTAAAGTAGGCCTTAGACAAGGATGTGTGATGTCACCGTGGTTGTTTAATATATTTATAGATGGGGTTGTAAGAGAAGTAAATGCGAGGGTCTTGGCAAGAGGCGTGGAGTTAAAAGATAAAGAATCACAACACAAAGGGGGAGTTGTCACAGCTGCTCTTTGCTGTTGACACTGTGCTCTTGGGAGATTTGAGAGAAGTTGCAGAGTTTGGGTGGATAAATTTTGGGTAGGGTGTGCAAAAGAGAAAATTAAAGGTGAATACAGGAAAGAGTAAGGGTTATGAGGATAACAAAAAGATTAGGTGATGAAAGATTGAATATCAGATTGGAGGGAGGGGAGTATGGAGGAGGTGAACGTATTCAGATTTTTGGGGAAAGTGGACGTGTCAGCGGATGGGTTCTATGAAAGATGAGGTGAATCATAGAATTGATGAGGGAAAAGAGTGAGTGGTGCATTAGGGTCTGTGGAGACAAAAAAACTTTGTCCTTGGAGGCAAAGAGGGGAATGTATGAGAGTATAGTTTTACAACGTCTTATAGGGGTTTGTGAAGCGTGGGTTGATGAATGTTGCAGCGAGGAGAAGGCTGGAGGCAGTGGAGATGTCATGTCTGAGGGCAATGTGTGGTGTGAATTAAATGCAGAGAATTCGTAGTTTGGAAGTTAGGAGGAGGTGCGGGATTAAAAAAAAACGTTGTCCAGAGGGCTGGGGGGGGTTTTGTTGGGGTGGTTCGGACATGTAGAGAGAATGGAGCGAAACAGAATGACTTCAAGAGTGTATCAGTCTGTAGTGGAAGGAAGGCGGGGTAGGGGTCGGCCTGGGAAAGGGGTTTGGGTGAGGGAGGGGGTAAAGGAGGTTTTGTGTGCGAGGGGCTTGGACTTCCAGCAGGCATGCGTGAGCGTGTTTGATAGGAGTGAATGGAGACAAATGGTTTTTAATATTTTGACGTGCTTTTGAGTGTGAGCAAAGTAACATTTATGAAGGGATTCAGGGAAACCGGCAGGCCGGACTTGAGTCCTGGAGATGGGAAGTACAGTGCCTGCACTCTGAAGGAGGGGTGTTAATGTTGCAGTTTAAAAACTGTAGTGTAAAGCACCCTTTGGCAAGACAGTGATGGAGTGAATGATGGTGAAAGTTTTTCTTTTTCGGGCCACCCTGCCTTGGTGGGAATTGGCCGGTGTGATAATAAAATAATAATAATAACTGTAGTTACAAACTGTGGCAGGTGAACCTGATATACTAGGATGGAATATGTTACAAGAACTAGTAGAAAATGCCGTAACCACTAAAAATTAAATACAAGTGTCTCGTGTTCTGTGTATGTATGTGAATTCTTAATTATACAGTGTCCCATTTCTCCTGGTAATTCTGCATGTGTGAAACAAAGTCACCATATGCTGTCAGTAGGTTCATGAAGATTTTGAGATTCTTATTAGGTGGAATTAAGTATGGAAAGCTTGATTGAGTTTATTATAAGTGTTGTGGACCTGGATTCCATCTATATAGCAAGGAACACATGTACTGAAGACATAACACCACGAGTATAGCTTTGCTCCTGTAGTTACAAATAAATAATTGTACTCTCCATATAGTTTTGTGTGCTAATAAATCAAGTGGATTTTATGTACTATTAAGAAAGTAATAATAAAGCTCTGTATCTCATAGCAAAAGATTGCTGACATGGCATTAAGAATTGAATCATCTCGACTTCTTACCTATAAGGCCGCTGTACTGAAAGATGAAGGGAAACCATACTCTAAGGTAAGAGTTTTTAAATATACTTTCCACATGCTATACTGTCTTTCCTACCTTTGAAAAACAGAATTTGTGATATGAATCTCCTCCCATATGTGACTATCACTAAATCACATCTGTTCATTCTTTGGAGTATGCACTGTTCAGAAAAATCTATAAAAACAATTAATATAGCTCAGTGTAATTGAAATATTATGAGAAGATAGGTGGTAAGGAAAATATTCGCCATCACTACCACGCAGTTTTTTTTGTGCGCACACATGTATGAGTGTGTATGTGTGTATCCTCTCCTGAAAATTGCATTACCTAATTCACTGTTAATCTGAAAAAACATTAGAAAAATGGGGTTATGCTCCTCAGACCTCAAAAAAGCCAAACAACTTGTTAAAATACTGTGCTTTAGGATGGTTCAGCTTACGATATTTCAACTTTATAATGGTGTGATAGCAATGCATATTCTGGGTGAGGGCAACCCACGTAAGCTTAAACATCTCATTTATTTACTTTTCAGTGCTAGTATGTAGCTACAGTGATTATTCAATTGATTCTTGAATACCAGCAAGTATTGCAGTGTTTTCATGTCATTTGTATCATCATCATCGCCCAAAATGCTCTTCATTTTAACCCTTTCAGGGTTTCGGACGTACTAGTACGGCTTACCCACCAGGGTTTTTGACGTACTAGTACGCATAAATTCTAGCACCCTCAAATCTAGTGAGAGAAAGCTGGTAGGCCTACATATGAAAGAATGGGTCTGTGTGGTCAGTGTGCGCAGTATAAAAAAAATCCTGCAGCACACAGTGCGTAATGAGAAAAAAAAAAATTTGACCATGTTTTTGGATTAAAACAGCGACTTTGCACTGTATTTTTGTATGGTATTTATTGTTGTAGTCTAGTTTTCCTGGTCTCATTTTATAGAATGGAAGACATATTACAGAAATTGAGATGATTTTGACTGGTTTTACAATGAAAAGTACCTTGAAATTGAGCTCAAAGTAGCAGAAATGTTCGATTTTTACCAAATTCAAAGTAAACAAATCATGCTAAGCGTCCAATACAGTCAACTGGTGAGTCAAATATTCTTTCACAAGTGCGCCGATATTATTTATACCATTTTCTAACACTAATGCGTAGTCTGCCCTAACAGTAAATCTTGTAGTTTTTGTGAGAATCAAAATTCAAAGTGGAAAGCAAAAGAATGTAAGAGGGGCGTGGGGACGTGACTAATGAACAGAGGAAATGTTATTTTAGTGCCAGGAATGTCTTTCTTGGTTTTTTTGGACTCTATTTGGAAATTGGCATCTTTTGAAATTTGTGTGAAATAGGCAAAAATGCTAAATTTTTTGACCACTGTATGATAGTTGAAATCGGTAAATGGGTGGTTTCTTGTACTCATTCGGGTAGAAAAATGGAGTTCTAGTGAAATAGTTATGATTTTTGTCGACTAGTACAATGGAATTGGCTGAAAATAGGGCTGAAAATGGGCAAAATAACGATGCGTAAACATCGTCGAACCGCTAACTTAGCAAGAGCATAAATTTCCGTAGTTTTCCATCAAATTTCAGACTTTTGGTGCCATTTTGATCGGGAAAAAATATTCTCTATTTTTCTGAGAAAAAAATTTTTTTTTATTTTTCTGAAAATTTTGGGCGACCTGAGAACAAGTCTGGGAGGGGCCTGGGGACCCTGAAGGGGTTTTTAAAGGGGTTTTATGCATACACTTCTAAATGTCATTCACGTTTGTACAAATGTTGTCTCATGCTGAAATAAAGTATCTTATCTGTGCTCCAATGTGAGCATGCTGAAGACAATGTTTATATACAAATTGAGAGGACAGACAATGAACCGTACCTGTCCAATGAGGGACACTCTTGGTGTTTATATACATTGCTTATCTTTCCTTTGCATAATAAAGATTAAAAATGAGAGGAACCTGGATGTACTGTGTATACAGTGCTTCAGTTTAGTTGGTACACTTTTATTTTGTAATAAAGAAACTAGGCTGTGTGAAAGTCGTTGTTTAGGTGATGGTGGTGTTAAGGGATACCAGTACTCAAACATCTGACCCACACTTTCTTACACTGCTATTTTTATTGTTGAAAATGCAAGGGATTTTTTTTTTTTTTTTTTTTTTTTTTTTTTTTTTTTTTTTTTTTTTTTTTTTTTTTTTTTTTTTACACACGGCCATCTCCCACCAAGGCAGGGTAGCCAAAAAAAAAAAAAAAAAAAAAAAAACTTTCACGATCATTCACACATAATCACTGTCTCTGCAGAGACGCTTAAATACAACAATTCAGATATCACTTCAAACAACAAATATCCCAAACCCCTCTTTTAACCCCTTCAGGGTCCAAGGCCAAAATCTGAAGTGGTGCCCCAGTGTTCAAGAATTTTCCAAAAAAAAAATTTGTTATTTTTTCTTATGAAATGGTAGAGAATCTTTTTGTGAAGGCAATAAAACAAAAAGTACGAAATTTGATGGAAAATTGACGAAATTATGTTCTCGCAAATTTTGATATGTCAGCGATATTTACGAATCGGCGATTTTGCCTACTTTCACTCCCATTTTAGGCCAATTACATCATTCCAGTTGACCAAATTCTTAGCTATTTCACTAGTATTACTTCTATTCTATCGATTGAGCACAAGAAATCGCCAAGTCAACTGTTTCAACTACAAAATAAAGTGATAGGAAATTGGTAATTTGGCCAATTTAACACAAAGTTCAAAATATTCCAATTTCAAAATAGCATCCAGAATAAACAATGTAGGCATTCCTGGCACTAAACTAACATTTCCTCTGTTCATTAGTTACGTTTTGAGGCTTTACAAATAAATTCCATTTTGATTTTTTATTCACATAATGAATTTTTATTCACACCAAAAAATAGAAGATTTACTGTTATGCAATATTGTAACAATTGTATAAATATCATCACCACATTTGTGAATGTATATTAGACCCACCAGCTGGCGTGTATTAGACGTGTGAGGTCGTTTGTTTACTCTTCAACATCGGCAAAAATTTAACATTTCCGCTACTTTGAGCTCAGTTTCAAGCCATTTCCAGTGCTAAAACCAATCAAAATCATCTCTATTTCTGTAATATGTCTTCCATTCTATCAAATGAGACCAAGAAATGCAAATACAACTATAAAAAACATACGAAAAAAACACTGCAAAGTTGCTGTTTTAATCAAAAATCTTAGTTTCAGTTTTTTTCTCTCATGCACAGTGTGCTGCAGGATTTGTTTTATGTGGTGCACACATACCACATAGATGTATTCTCTCATATCTAGGCCCAAGTGTACCACTCACAGTTTATCAGAGTGAGCTGAGCTCATGACGTAGATCTACGGTTTGGACCCTGAACGTAAAGCCGTAGATCTACGGGACGGACCCTGAAAGGGTTAAAGTGCACACATACTTCCCACCTCCAGGACTCAAGTCCAGCTAACTGGTTTCCCTGAATCCCTTCACAAAATATTACCCTACTCACACTTCAACAGCTTGTCAGGTCCCAATTCATCTCCATTCACTCCTATCTAACATGCTCATACATGCCTGCTGCATGTCCAAGCCCCTTGCACACAAAACCACTTTTACCCTTTCCTTCCATCCTTTCCTAGAATGACCCCTACCCCTCCTCCCCTACACTACAAATGAATCCACCCTCCAAGTCATCCTATTTTGCTCCACCCTCTCTAAATGACCATACCACCTCAACAACTCTTCAGTTTGCTGAATAATACCTTTAGTAACTTGGGCAGTAAAAATAAAAGTAATGTACGTACTGTACTCTACAGTAAATAATTACCTTTTTGTGGCTGAATGATGCCTTACAGAAAATCATGTAAATAAATGCTAGAATGCTGCACAAGTGTATAAGTACCAGTTGAGGTGCTGAGTAGAAGCCAGGATATATTTAATATAGGAGAAACCAGCTGCTCTATTTATGTTCAAGATTCACAGTCTAATGTATTTTCTAATGTAATTATCTTTTAATGTGCTTGTACAGTAGTATTGTATGTTTAATTAAAAAAGAGTATGGTACTGTATTACTAACATGTTTACAGTAATTTCACAATCCAAATATAGAATATTTTATAAAGTTTTTAATATTTAGAGATTTTTCTGTTAAATAATGGAAGTAGTTATGTATACCTGTTGTCTCCCTTTTCACAGTATGCTGCAATGGCAAAATTAGCTGCATCAGAAACAGCCACTTTCTGTGGCCATCAGGCTATACAGATCCTTGGAGGGATGGGCTATGTTAGTGACATGCCAGCAGAGAGGCACTACAGGGACGCACGCATCACTGAAATATACGAAGGCACTTCAGAAATTCAACGTTTAGTCATAGCAGCAAATCTTATTAAAGAATACCAAGTGCTGTAATTCAGTACGGTATTAATTTTGTCAAATATACTTCTCTTTGTACGATACAAAAAATATATATACTGTATATATTTTAGCAAATTTTTTGTTTTTAACACAAGACGCTGTATCCCACCAAGTCAGGGATATTCTGCATAATATTTGAAATGGAGATGAATGGTATTTGAGACCTGACAATCTGTTGGAGTGTGAGCAGGGTAATATTTAGTGAAGGGATTCAGGGAAACTGGTTATTTTTATATAGCCGGACTTGAGTCCTGGAAATGGGAAGTACAATGCCTGCACTCTAAAGGAGGGGTTTTGGGATATTAGCAGTTTGGAGGGATAGGTTGTGTATCTTTATACGTATATGCTTCTAAACTTTTGTGTTCTGAGCACCTCTGCAAAAACAGTGATTATGTGTGAGTGAGGTGAAAGTGTTGAATGATGATGAAAGTATTTTCTTTTTGGGGATTTTCTTTCTTTTTTGGGTCACCCTGCCTCGGTGGGCGATGACCAACTTGTTGTAGGTAAGACACATATGCAACAGTTAGGTATCTTTATTCCTACACAGTAGGCTTCTTCAGTCGAGTACAGAAAAGTTGATAGAAGCAGAAGATACTTGAAGACGATGTAATCAGTCCATCACCCTTAAAGTTTTGCTTCTATCAACTTTTCTGTACTCGACTGAAGAAGCCTACTGTGTAGGCGAAACGTTTCGAAATAAAGATACCTAACTGTTGCATATGTGTCTTACCTACAACCTGTCGGTATTTTATACCATTTTAATGTTCGATGACCAACTTGTTAAAAAAAAAAAAATGTCTGAAAGAGGGGAAGGTATATAGGGATTGGCAGAGAGCATGTATAGTTCCTTTACATAAAGGGAAGGGGGACAAAAGAGATTGTAAAAATATAGGGGAAGAAATTTACTGAGTATACCAGGTAAAGTATATGGTAGTTTTATTACTGAAAGAATTAGAGGTAAGACAGAGCAGGATTGCAGATCAACAAGGAGGCTTTAAAATGGGTAGGGGATGTTAAGCATATGCAGTGGAACCTTAGTATACGACCTGCTCCTACTCGAACAAAGCTCATCACTCAACCAAACAAATACGACCTGCCTGAACTTCGCTGTAAATTGTTTCATGTTTCTTTGCATTTCGTGATGCCTTTTGTGTATGTATAAATAAGTCAAAATGGGGACTGCGAAGATTAATGATAACAGCCAACCAAACAGAAAACTGGTTGGGAAGAACCTGTTCGATACTCAAACGGAGCAGCACTCAAACAGCCTTCTGGAATGAATTAAGATCGCATACCGAGGTTCCACTGTATGTGAACAGTACTTAGATAAAGGTAGGGACGTTTTCATTGCATTTATGTATTTAGAAAAGGCTTATGATAGTGGAGCAATGTGGCAGATGTTGCAAGTGTATGGACTAGGTAGTAAGTTACTAAATGCTGTAAAGAGTTTTTATGAGGATAGTGAAGTTCAGATTAGGGTGTATAGAAGAGAAGGAGATTACTTCCCAGTAAAAGTAGGTCTTAGGGATATGTAATGTTACCATGGTTGTTTAACATATTTATAGATGGGGTTGTAAAAGAAGTAAATGCTCGGGTGTTGGGGAGAGGGGTGGGATTAAATTATGGGGAGTCAAAAACAAAATGGTAGTTAACACAGTTACTTTTTGCTGATGATACTGTGCTTTTGGGAGATTCTAGAATAAATGAAGTTAAGACACATGTGCAACATCTGGGTATCTTTATTGTAGACGCTTCGCAATCCAGTGGCTTTATCAATACAAATTCCAGGACATAACTTGAAGACAGTAGAACTATGTACAGAAGATGAGGTAATCAGTCCCTCAACCTTGGTTGAGGGACTGATTACCTCATCTTCTGTACATAGTTCTACTGTCTTCAAGTTATGTCCTGGAATTTGTATTGATAATGCTACTGGATGGCAAAATGTCTACAATAAAGATACCCAGATGTTGCACATGTGTCTTAATTTCATCTTGTCGGTATTATATACCATTCTTGTACATTCTAGAGAAAAGTTGCAAAGGTTAGTGGACAAGTTTGGGAGGGTGTACAAAGGTAGAAAGTTAAAAGTGAACATAGATGCGAATAAGGTGATGAGGGTACCAGATGATTTAGATGAAGAAAAATTGGATATCAAATTAGAGGGAGGGAGTATGAAAGAAGTGAATGTTTTCAGATACTTGGTAGTTGACTTGTCAGCAGATGGGTTTGTGAAGGATGAGGTTTGGAAAGATAATTCTTCAGATACACTGTATAGGTAATGTATATAAAACTGCAGTTAATTTGATTTGATTTCCATAAGTGTGTGTGTGCTGGTGAATATTCAGTTTTGTAATTCTGTCATATATGATATATGTACATATACATTTTTAGGGACTTACCAGTTTTAAATAAAATGTGGCTCTATTTTGCATATGCAGCATATCAATGCAATTTGTAATATAAATCATGTATAATGCCATTGTGGAAAATAAAAATTTACTAAAAATATATATTTTCTATTTTTTTATTCTCCTTCAAAGGGGATGGGATGTTCCCCATGGGCTCTCAGTCTGAGGAATCAAGGTTCTTGTCTCCTTTCTCGATTTGAATCTAAGTACCTCCTCCCCTCCACTCTTCTCTCCTTTCCATTTGTCCTCTGGGGATATTCTCTTCTCAAAAAACAGCTAGGTTGAAGGAAAAGGGATTGCTGTTTACCCCATTTTGTTAAGGATCTCAGTAGTGGTGGTGTTTGCCATTGGAATTTGATTATCTGGGGATGATGATGGGCTGCCCTTCAAGATCCAGGTGGGTGGCCTCGCTTGTCCTTAAGTGACAAGTATTCCTGGTGGCAGCCAAAGGGGATACAACTCTCAGTGCATTTCCAGTCACCTACCTCTCTTGTTGGCTAAGTCTGGCTTGGATGATTCAGAGAATGCCATACTGGAGTGCTGGTTCACTGGCATGGAGGGAAGAGTAAGGAGCAGTTTCCATGAAGCATCAGCAATACTTGCTGTGCTGAGTATACTCTTGGCTGCGAAGGGGGATATATGTCTCTCGTTTACCCTCGGAGATGCCCCTCTTTCTCTCCTCCCCCCGTTTTATAAAGAAAAGACCTTAAACATGGATTACTGTATTCATGTTTTGTCTCCTGGCCTTCTTGTTACCCCTGCAGCACCCTTCATTGACCCCAGCAGGCCTGCTAGTCCTCCTCTAAATCAGTACCACTTTCGGGCATCGTTATCATGCCTGATTATAGTACTGGAGTTCTGGCTGACCATTTTGATACTTCTAACCTTTGCTTGATTTTCACAATGATCCTGGCTTTTCCCTTGATGGTGCATCCGTTTTCAGATCATTCGCACATCACAGGACAGATTGACTTGAAGCCACTGTCCAAACTACCTCGACCCATATTTGATGATCCTGACACTACTTGCTCCTAATCCATGAAACAAGCTCCCTAGAAACCTCTTCCTCTCTTAACTGTATTTCATGGCCAATCCTGGACAAAATCCTTTTCAGCCAACAACATCTACTGCTGGATTTGCCGACCATAGCATTAGCAAAGCACTCTTGAATTATGTTGGGTAAAACATATCCTTTATGCCTTCAAGAGTGGGATGTGTATTTTTTCTGTTAAGAATGAACAGCTCTCAATTCTCTGCTCCATTGGCAACACCTATCACAATACACATTCTTTTCTCAATTCTAACTGGTGCAGTCCTCATTCTGCATTATATTGTCCAACAGGACTTCACACAATGTGCCCCAATCATTAAGGAGCAGCTTGAGCTCCAGAACCTCTCAGTTATCAAAGTAGAAACTTATGTCCTTCCTGCTTGAGTTCAGAGATGTTATCTACACAATATTGCCAAATAGTGTATAGATAACATCTCTACAATATTTGGTTTATGTAGCAGGATAGCATTTACAAGTGCAGGAATTACTTCCTACATCTCAACAGTACATAAATTGCTGGCACTTGTCCACCTGGCCAAGTACTGTAGATCACTAGCAGAATGTCATCCGATGTGTAGCTGACTATAATCTATCTTACAGCCAGCTCCCCACTTATTTTCACTGAGAGGCTTACCCTACATATTCACACCATTCCCAGTTTTCTTAAGGAAACATGAAATCCATTTTTTTTTTTTTTTTTTATTATCACACTGGCCGATTCCCACCAAGGCAGGGTGGCCCGAAAAAGAAAAACTTTCACCATCATTCACTCCATCACTGTCTTGCCAGAAGGGTGCTTTACACTACAGTTTTTAAACTGCAACATTAACACCCCTCCTTCAGAGTGCAGGCACTGTACTTCCCATCTCCAGGACTCAAGTCCGGCCTGCCGGTTTCCCTGAATCCCTTCATAAATGTTACTTTGCTCACACTCCAACAGCACGTCAAGTATTAAAAACCATTTGTCTCCATTCACTCCTATCAAACACGCTCACGCATGCTGCTGGAAGTCCAAGCCCCTCGCACACAAAACCTCCTTTACCCCCTCCCTCCAACCCTTCCTAGGCCGACCCTACCCCGCCTTCCTTCCACTACAGACTGATACACTCTTGAAGTTATTCTGTTTCGCTCCATTCTCTCTACATGTCCGAACCACCTCAACAACCCTTCCTCAGCCCTCTGGACAACAGTTTTGGTAATCCGCCACCTCCTCCTAACTTCCAAACTACGAATTCTCTGCATTATATTCACACCACACATTGCCCTCAGACATGACATCTCCACTGCCTCCAGCCTTCTCCTCGCTGCAACATTCATCACCCACGCTTCACACCCATATAAGAGCGTTGGTAAAACTATACTCTCATACATTCCCCTCTTTGCCTCCAAGGACAAAGTTCTTTGTCTCCACAGACATCCATTGTTTTAAAGAAAAGGAGAGCCTCTCTTATGCTAAGACAGTGTCTTGCCTTCACCTAGGAAGACATCCACAGCTCTAACTCCAGAGTTGTTCAGTGCCCTCAGGCCCCTGTGGTACCCATCCCCATGGTCACCCATGTTTAAACCATGTACAGTCTATATCTCTGATGTTCCAACTATCTAGCCTAGGCTGTCTTACTGAGTGAGCTTGATAACCCCTATGGCACATAGTAGCCTAGCTAAATACAGTCCTGAGCATTTGTTCTGCACTGCAACCCATAAATTCCATGTTTTCTCCTGTCTGAAAGTTGAGCAGACTGGTAGTCTGAAGGTAGGGAGCATGCTTTATTGGTAGGAGGATAGAGGTCAAATGGGAGGTTCATCTCTGGCCTCACTGAATCAACTGGCTGGTCTAGTATCACTCTTCCTTTCCTGGTAGAGCCAAGCGAGCACCTGTGAGCGGACACTACTTTTGTCTTGTGGCTGCCGTTTAGCTCACTGATGATATTGCAAATATCTCTCTCTGGGGTCATTCATTAATTTTATTACATTTCAGTACATAACGCAACCAGGGAGATTAGTATTGCCAATATCCCGTCAGGGAGTCTAGTATTAACCAACATCCCACCAGGGAGGATAGTATTATCAGTATCCCATCAGGGAGTCTAGTATTAACCAACATCCCACCAGGGAGGACAGTATTATCAATATCCTGTCAGGGAGGCTAGTATTAACCAACATCCCACCAGGGAGGATAGTATTACCAATATCCCGTCAGGGAGGATAGTATTACCAATATTCCGTCAGGGAGTCTAGTATTAATCAACATCCCACCAGGGAGGATAGTATTAACCAACATCCCTCCAGGAAGGATAGTACATATTACCAATATCCCGTAAGGAAATTTAGTGTTAACCAACATCCCACCAGGGAGGATAGTATTAACCAACATCCCACCAGGG